GGGGAAAGGCCCCGGGGTGGGGTCAGTGGGTGTTTCATGTACCAGGTGCTGGGTGATAACACGAGAGGACTCCAAGTTTCTAACACTAAACTGGTCTCTAGTCAGAGAACGATTGCAGAGGTGCTGCACCTGCAGCTGCCATTCCAGCCACGTGCACACAGACTGGCCTCCATCCTGGTGGCACTGGAGCCTCTTCCAAACTCTCCCCCCTGCCACCTGTGCCCTCCCTCCATGTTCTGTGTAGGTGGCTACAGTGGGGACCTGCCAGCTCCAGCATGGGGGAGAGAGGAACAGTGGGAGATGGCAAATGCCCCTTCTAAGAACTGCTTTGCTCTGCAAATAGGACCCTGTTTCCTAGGATCCAAGTCCCATCTGAGTGACCATGGCCTCCCTGCTGACCCCCCCCCTTCTCCCCACCTGCAGCCCTGGTTTGGGGAGTCCCTGGAGATGTGGCTTGCAGAGCCCAGCCACTGAGGACCTGGAACCAGGGCTGGGGGAAGGGATCACTCTCGGGGCCCTTCCAGCCCAGCCAGGCCCTTTAGCAAACAGTTCTGGGGGGTGTCTCAGGTTCTCATGGCCCCATCTCCCTTGTGTGTTTTCTCCCCAGGGGAAGCAAGAAGATGGGGCCAGTCGCCTACTTCAGCCTCTGCCTCCTCGGCTGCCTGATCTATAACCCCTCGCTGGCAGGTGAGTTCCTGCCTGGCCCTCAGAGCTGGAATCCCCGGGTGCTGGTTGCTATGGTGGAAATGGGGAAGTGAATTTCTTTCCCTCGTCACTTCCAGAACTTCTGCCCATCTCGTGCTGCTGGAGGTCACTGCCCTGGGGGAGACCAACCCTATGGCTCCTCATGAAGGAGTGGGTGAGAGAAGGTGGATGAAATGCCCCCCATAGGTCAGCTCTTCCCATGAGGATTGGGTGGGGCCAGTCCCTGAGGATGGGTGCTCAGCCCCTGTCAGTTTCAGGCAACCATCCCACCCTCCTGTATTCCCCTCCCAATGTCTGGCCATGTAGCCACAGGGTCCCTTTCCAAGGCTGGTCATGGCTCCGCTCCAGCACCGGTATGTCCCCCATCCGGCCTCTGATCCCAGTTCGGCTGCCCCATTCCCTGCACACTGTGCCTTTCTCCTCCAGACTGTCCCATTCCCCCCCTCTGCTGCAACACGGCTGCGCCCCTTTCTGTGTTGGGGCGGAGGGGAGGGGAGGGGAACACTGTGCCCCCAGCCCTAAGAAGGGCAGTGCCTGCACAGTGTTCTCCTCCCCTCTGCCCCAACCCCACAGATCCCTGCTATTCCCCCTCTTTATGTCCCATCTCCCTGGGCACCTCTCTCCCCTTCCCTCCTCCTTCAACCCCCCAGCTCCTTCCATCCAGAACTGGGCCCCTGCTCCCGATTTCCTCTCTAGTCCCAATCTGTGCCAACCCCATTGCTCCCCCAGCTTCACCCCTTGGCCCTGGGTGTTCTCTTCCCCATCCCCCTTCCCTCCTGCCAGCTTCCCTGGCCCCACTGTCCCGCATGGCCCAGGGGGAGAGGGGGAGGAGATCAGAGTAGCAGGAATTCCCTCTGCCCGAGGGCTGCAGCTGAATGGAGGCCACTGTGGCTGGCATCTCCATAATTCCCCACTTCTCTGGGGCAGGGGCAGGGGCAGGGGCAGGGAGGGTCTATCAGCCCCCCCACTGTGCACTGGCTCCTTCCTCCCCCCAGGCAGCCCTGGGAAAGGAGCCCCTGCCCCATAGCGACCCAGAGGCCCTGCCCGGCTGGGATCCCTGCTCAGGGCTGGGTTTCAGGGGCCCTGTTCTGCCGATGTGGGGTCTGAGCAAACCCAGCTTCTTCCTGCATTGCCAGGGCCTGGAGGGTCCTGCCAGCCAGACACAGCCCCAAACGGGACCCGATGTTTTTCGTACTAATGGGAAAGCCACGGCTCTGCCTCTGAAACAGCCTCTAACGGTGGTGTCCTGTCCCCACCATTGCCCCCAGCCCCCTCTCTCTCTGCAGAGGCACAGGCTATGTCGTGTCCCAGAGGCTGGTTCCCCTTCCATGACAGCTGCTACCGATACTTCAGCAAAGAGAAAAACTGGATGGAGGCTGAGGTGAGAGGCTGGGGGCAGGGGGGCTCAGGGGCGCTGGGATGGAGCTGGAGGCTGGGGGGATGGGGAGGTTTAGGGCGAATATCAGAGTCAGTGAGCTGGGCTGGGCTGGGGAATCTGCTTTGGTAGGAGGGGAGGGGATAGGGTTGTCAACTTTCTAAGGACACACCCCGGCCACTCCCTTCTCCGAGACCTCGCCCTGACTCACTCCATCCCCCCTTCCTCTGTCACTCTCCCTCACCCTCACTCACTTTCACCGGTCTGGGGCAAGACGTAGGGGTGTGTGTGGGGGGGTGCGGTGATGACTCTGTCTGAGGATGCAAGCTCTGGGGTGGGCTCAGGGATGACGGATTTGGGGTGTGGAGAGGGCTCCGTGATGGGGT